AGCCTATGGAATCGAATTGTCCAGTATATACATTCTATGGGTGGAGTGTGTGTGTGTGTGTGTGTGTGTGTGTGTGTGTGTGTGTGCGTGCGTGTGTGTGTGTGTGTGTGTGTGTGTGTGTGTGTGTGTGTGTGTGTGTGTGTGTGTGTGTGTGTGTGTGTGTGTGTGTGTGAACGATGTTGAGTTCAGAACCTCCGCGTTCGGAGAAGCGAGTCTGAGTGGGATATGATGTTTTGCTCCTAACCGATCATGTTTGAACCGTGGTCATAAACACATGAGACGCCAGTATTGTCGCATCCACATACCCTTCAGTGAGACCTCCGTACAGATCCGGATGCCAGGTCCACGACCCTCCTCTGGTACCGGAGCCGATGAAACAGCGTCACGGCACAACAACCCAGTCTTTGGATAGTCTCCAGGTAAAAAGCGACAGGTGTTCACAGCGTCAAAAAGGGGACCCTCCTTGGGTCAGCGAGTTCAGCTTTTATTCTGAAGGAACCGTTGTTGGTTGATAACAATGACAGGTTTTCCCCAGCTTAGTAGTTCTTTGCTTAGAAAGAAAATTATAGATGGCCTGTCCATACTTCACTTAGCATGCGGTGAACTTCAGGGGATCTTGAAATCTTGTTGAACACTGACTTAAAATGACGTTGGAACTGTTTTATTAATCTGGATGTTTTTGATTCTGGACGAATCAAAGCTGACAGATTAAATAAACATCACAGAGACTCACCACGCTTCAGATGGGGAAGATTCTGATTGGATCAGCAACAGCAATGTGTCATGTGATTATTTACCTTAGTGTTTCAGCGTGTCTAGTGACTAGAAGAAGTCATTTACTTATTATAAACATATTAATCATAATATTGTGATTTCACATGGTATTATTGACTAACAGATGTTTTGATTAGCTTTATTGAAAATAAGAGTTCTTTGGCTTTTAATTAAAGAATAGAAAGGAGTCTTCTTCTGTCTTCATTGCTGGAACGTAAACAGTTTAGAAGCGAATGCATGACCTTGAGGCTGTTTCATGCACTCTGGCACTGTGTCAAAGGGAACAGTGGTTAGAGGATAATAACCCTGAGAAATGGCTCCTTCATCACGTTACATACCCCCCTTTTCAAGGGCACGGTTGTCTGGCCAGAGACCACCTGGTCATTGAACAAACCAGAGTTATGAAGGACCCCGACAACAGAGCAGGGTGCAATCCCACAGGAAGAGGCCAACAGTGGTGAGGTACGAACCCCACGCCGAAGAACAGTCTTGCATACTCCTCGGGAAGCACACAAGTCAGTAGATTATCAGATATACCCGTGGAAGCAATAATTGAAGCAGCAGCAACTTTAAATCTCCACGGGTCTGGAATACTTCCAAACAGCATATTGATCTTTGTAAGAGCACTTATCGTAATCCAGCAAAGGGAAGAGCAGCAGGCAGGTCGTCCCAGCGAGCGAAGTATACCAGCAGCCATGCCGGAACCAACGGACGTCCAGGTCCAACGAGCCGGAGCACCAACCAGGAGGAGTAGATTCCAATGACGAGTCACGGGTCCACCCTCAGGAAGCAGGATCATCACGAACTCAGCAGGGAAGAGACACACCGGGCACTTCATTGTAGACACAACAAAATGGCGTCTCATGCAAATTAACAAACAAAAAGAAACCTAACACTGTGAGTACCTGCAAATACTATGTGTAGGGATTATCTGAATTAGCACCAAGCGAAGAAATGGGTGCAACCCTCTCTACGTGTGAAGCAAAAAGGGTGGTGCAAAAAAGCATAAAATCAATAGAACTCTATACTGCGCATGGGAGAACTCACTGCACTGCGTAAAAATATAATCAAACTGAAGGGCTAAAATGGCTGTAGCCCCTGATGGTAATTAACCAAGCTAATCATAAAGATTTCAACTCAATCACTGTAACAAAGTTCTATAAAAAGATAGACGTGTGATTGTCTAGGAGCTAAAAATGTAAATCAGTGGTTAGCAATCAACCTCACGTGAATGTACCCATAAAAACTCAAACATTACTGAGATATTCTAATATCCAGGTTAGATGATTTCTTATTAATGCAACGTTGTTGCAGAAAAATATGCTATTGTGCTCCTAACAGTGGTTTATTAAAAGAGTGTTAATAAACAGCAGTGATAATGCTGCATCTCTGCTGCTCCAGCCCAGAAAATTAAATCACACAACCAACGCGTTTCCTAAAGCAGGAGCATCCGTGCAACAGCATCCATGACCTATAATAACCCCTATGGATCATTCCAATCTCAAGCATTAAGGTTATTTGAATAAAGTTGAATACATATAAGTGCCTTACTTGGGTATGAAATATAATAAAACCGCCCTATTTTATCCAGCTATGAGTGGCAGGTTTGATTCTCTTCTAGACTATTGAAAATATCTAAAACTGTGACCGTAAACTTCCGTTGTAATGAGATAAATGTTTACTTAGTGTCATTTACTGTGTTAGATTTGCTGTTTTAAATTAGTTTGCAAAACACATAATCATATTTAACATTTTTAGAGTTTAAACTAAAGTAATATTTTGGTTTTCTAATGTAACCATTACCTGTTCACTCCTAGTATTAGTTTGAGTGATTTATGAGTAATAAAAACTAACTGATACAGAATTAATCATTTACCTATTTTTAAAGTAAATTGAAGAATGTGTGGCGAAGTCACAAAACATTTAGTTCACATGCTATTTATAACTTTATAAAACAATATATTTATACGTGCATATTGTAAAAATACAATGGAATACCAATGCCACATGTAAATTAAGTACGCTATTCAAGTTAATAAATATTGAAAAATAATGGAGACAAACGGTCTCCCTTCCTTCTGTCAAAATAAAGCACGACCAATAAATCAAATAAATGAGTCTAATTCACTCCAAATAACCATGTGATCTAATACAATAGATTACTGTAAGTAAGGAAAATTGAAGAATTGATCTTAGTTGAATTTTAGGAGAAAAACTCTGCTGCTCTGTCCTGTTCGCATCCATTTAAACCAGCCGGAGGCGCTGCCGCTACAGTATATTGTGCTGTATGAACCACGTGACAACCTGTCAGTGTGGCAACTCTGCTTACAAGGTTCTAGTGATATCCTATATTTATGATGTAATGTCTATGCTTTGAATTACTTCAGTCTTGAGCTGGAAATTTTGTTTTTATGTTACATTGTTTTATATTTGATGTCCTGATAAAGAATTAAGGAAAACATATCCTGTTTTGGTTCCAGTTTTATTAAGAACAGAACAAAGAAGGTATACATCAAGTGGACTAGAGCTCAAAGAAAAATAAACAAAAAATAAATCCAACAAAGTTGAATAAACCACAAAAACAAATTACAATATATTTCAAATAATTCCAACCACAAAATTACCTATTCAAATGTTTAAAAAGATGACATGATTTTAAGGTGTGGTTTACTCTTTTATTCAGCACATTATCAGTGTTCTCTAGTGCAGTGGTTCCCAACCTTTTTCCCAAGGGACCCCGTTTTTTACCAGTAAAATTTTTGACGACCCCCTCCCATTCTCTCTTCCAGTACAAACAGTATTAAGAAATGATACAATTGTTCAAGCACATTTTAATATCCTTTGATTCAATAGATAACAGTAATAGTAGGCTCCAGTACAGAACAAAGTCATTAACAAAACCAAACAGAGCATAATGTGCTTGACAGTTTGTATTACTTTTCTGAACACATTGTTTCTTGTAAACACTGATAAATCAATCATTCCTTTCAATTAAAGTTTGACACATAAAAAATACACTGAGCAAAATGTACTTAAATGTGTATATTACTGTTTACACTAGATTATTTACTGTAAAGGCTGTGATTAATCAACCAGTCCTATCTTTAATGAACTTTTGACACTTGAAAATAAAACAGTGAGCTGAGCAAAATGTTCTTAAAAGTGTGTTACTTTTTCTGTACTAATTATTTCCTGTCTTAATATCAGTAAACTTTTCACTCATGAAAAAAAAATGTGAGCAAAATGTAGGCTATAAACAAGTAATAAATGAAGCTTTAACCCCTTAGAGTGGAGAGGTCCTGGCGACCCACTGAGAGGCTTTGGCGCCCCCTTGTGGGGGTCGGGACCCCCAGATTAGGAACCGCTGCTCTAGTGTAAATCAATGCCTTATGAGTCATTAAAAAAGCTATGATGCTCCTGTTCTGAGATGCAGAAGTTAGCTGGTGCAGAGGGGGGTTGAAAATAGCAGAATTGCTCATTATTGTTAATGACATGCACACAACTTGCTTCTGACTGGCAACACGTTCAGTTGCAAAGTCACGATCACCAACACACTGTCCACTCTCTCTCCTCGTTTAAAAAAAAGCCTTCCTGTGGGCAGGTGGGTGCCAAGATGGGCAAGGCCATGAATGCAAATTTAGAGTTTGAGGATTTTCACTTTCTAACATTTCAATTTCAGAAGAAGGAGATAGGCGTTCGAGACTATTTTCGTGTTCAGCTTGCATGAAAACCTCAAAGATTGATTATAATCAGAAATAATAATTAAAACAGTTTTTTCCCAGTCAGTTTTAAATAACTTATTGTTGTTTATTACTGAGAAAAGTAAAGCTTGGGATTAATACAAAAGTAACTCTGAGGTTCTGCAGATGGAAGATTCATGAAATATAATTAGGATTATATCAGTGGCAGGTTACTAATGTAAATATCTGCAATCCATCCAACACATTCTTACAGCGTCAGGAAAAAACAACCAGAAACAAAAATGTGTCCGTTTCAGAGATGAAACTGCACAATACATAAACAACTGTTTTTCTACAGGTAGACCTAATACAAAATGTATAACTTACTTTAAAATCTCCTCTGAATTGGAGCTGGATAAAACTAATGAAGCGTTTAAAATAAAATGCCTTCACTTTTTTGGTTCAAAATAGTTTACATGTGATAAAAGTACTGGCCGCTCCCTGAGATCAAACAGTGACGTCAACCCCCAGCAGGGCGGTGCCCGCAGCCAGGTACCCGCAGCAGGCAGCAGCAGCAGCCTACGGCACAAACTGAGGCAGGAGGAGGAGGCTGTCTGGGCCGGGCCCTCCAGAGCAGGGAGGAACCGGACACATCCGGAACATTTGGAAACACCAAAACGGGGAAGTTGGAGCGTCGCTGCTGAGTCCGGAATAAAGTATGTTCAGCTGGGTGAAACAGGAACAGGCTGGCCGCAACAAGGACGGAGAGATGTACCAGACGGTGACGGAGGGGCTCCAGACCCTTTACCACAAAAAGCTGCTGCCCCTGGAGGAGACGTACCTGTTCCATGACTTCCACTCCCCGGCCCTGGAGGGCGCAGACTTCCAGAGCAAGCCCATGGTCCTGCTGGTGGGTCAGTACTCCACTGGGAAGACTACCTTCATCAGGTGCGGTCCGCAGCGCTGTGGGGCTCCGAAGGGAGGGGAGGGGGTGGCTGGGTCGTTGGAAGGCATAGTTTTCTAACTAAAACTTTAAAAAGTTCTAAGTGTTTAAACATGAAACCCAATTAAACGTTTAACATTTAAAACAGAATAGTGATGTACAACGATGAATGTTAACACAAAAGTTTCAGGCTAGAACTCAATATTTAACATGCATGAAAATTCAGACCACCTTAAAGTAGAAGTACTTCCAGAATAAAAGTAGGGCGAAGAGACCCCCTATCTAAGGTCTCAAACACATTGGGAGTTGCTTTAGAACAAGGGTGTCCAGCCCTGGTCCTCAGCCAACATCCTGTTTCAGGTTCCTCTGCTCCAGCACACCTGACAGTAATCAGATAGCAGTGTTGTTTTTCTATATTTATTCTTTTTAGTTTTATCCTGTTAAATATGTGATTGCCCATGTTCTTCACTTTGTTCAGTGTTGGCTGTTTTAAAGAGCTTTATAAATAAAGTTGGCTTGACAAGCAGGCTTCTGCAGAGCATCATGAGCTGCTGAACAAGTGATTCAGCCACTGACTCAGGTGTGTTGGAGCAGAGAAACAACTAAAACATGCTGGATGGGGACCTGGAGGACCGGGGTTGGATATCCCTACTTCTGTGGACCCTGAATGAGTCCATTTATAAAAACCCTGCACACGGATAAATGACTGGGTTGTAGGGAAAAAAGTGGAGCTGCCCAAACTTTCCACTTCCATTTTTCCAGTGACATCACTGGGAAACACCCACCTGAGGAGTAAAATGGTACTGCTCGTCTGTCCTCTAGTCATTGGCTGTGTTTCCATTACCTGAACTTTAGGGTAAAGTCAGCATATCGCGACTGCTTTGGCAGTGAGTGATGTCACTGATCAGCGCCAAAAGCATCCACAGTAACAATAAGAACATTAAAAGTAGAGGCCAACCGATATGTTCAATTTTTTCCTTTATCGGTCATCGGCCAAAATTATTTTTAAAAGCCTATAAAAATAAATTAATCTGGCACCTGTGTGGCCAAATGCTGCCACTACTAGACTAAAGAAAGGACCCAAAGGACCCTAACACACCATTTTGAGTTTGTTTGTTATTTGAAGTTCAATAAATATTAAGAGATTTATTGACTTATTTAATTTATAGCAGTGATGCACCGATATGAAATTTTTGGGCCGATACTGATATCCGATATAAAGATCACTGTTTATGGCCGATAACTGATATTTGTCGATATCGATAAACTGACATTATTGCTTCTAAAATCAGCAGATTTTGTATAGAATTAAATTATTAAAGCTGAATTTACATTATTATGTACACACATCACACACATTTATGCTTCTGAGATTATTACAATCACCGTGACATGACTAAACAAATACAGGTGCTGGCCAGTAAATTAGAATATCATCAAAAGGTTGAAAATATTTCAGTAATTCCATTCAAAACGTGAAACTTGTACATTATATTCATGCAATGCACACAGACCAATGTATTTCCAATGTTCATTACATTTAAATTTGATATTCATAAGTGACAACTAATGAAAACTCCAAATTTGGTATCTCAAAAAATTAGAATATTCTGAAAAGGCTGAATATAGAAGACACCTGCTGCCACTCTAATCAGCTGATTTACTCAAAACACCTGCAAAGGCCTTTAAAAGGTCCCTCAGTCTTGTTTTGAAGGCACCACAATCATGGGGAAGACTTCTGACTTAACAGCTGTCCAAAAGACAATCATTGACACCTTGCACAAGGAGGGCAAGACACAAAAGGTGATTGCTAAAGAAGCTGGCTGTTCGCAGAGCTCTGTGTCCAAGCACATTAACAGACAGGCGAAGGGACGGAAAAAATGTGGTAGAAAAAAGTGTACAAGCTCTAGGGATAACCGCACCCTGCAGAGAATTGTGACGACAAACCCATTCAAAAATGTGGGGGAGATCCACAAAGAGTGGACTGCAGCTGGAGTCATCGCTTCAAGAACCACCACGAGGAGACTCATGAAAGACATGGGATTCAGGTGTCGCATTCCGTGTGTCAAGCCACTCTTGAACAAGAAACAGCGCAAGAAGCGTCTCGCCTGGGCCAAGGACAAAAAGGACTGGACTGATGCTGAGTGGTCCAAAGTTATGTTTTCTGATGAAAGCAAGTTCTGCATTTCCTTTGGAAATCAAGGACCCAGAGTCTGGAGGAAGAGCGGAGAAGCACAGAATCCACGTTGCATGAGGTCCAGTGTAAAGTTTCCACCGTCAGTGATGGTGTGGGGTGCCATGTCATCTGCCGGTGTTGGCCCACTCTGTTTCCTGAGGTCCAGGGTCAATGCAGCCGTCTACCAGGAAGTTTTAGAGCACTTCATGCTTCCTGCTGCTGACCAACTTTATGGGGATGCAGACTTCACCTTTCAACAGGACTTGGCACCTGCACACAGTGCCAAAACCACCAGCACCTGGTTCAAGGACCATGGTATCCCTGTCCTTGATTGGCCAGCAAACTCGCCTGACCTTAACCCCATAGAAAATCTATGGGGTATTGTGAAGCGGAGGATGCAATACGCTAGACCCAACAATGCAGAGGAGCTGAAGACGACTATCAGAGCAACCTGGGCTCTCATAACACCTGAGCAGTGCCACAGACTGATCGAGTCCATGCCACGCCGCATTACTGCAGTTATTGAGGCAAAAGGAGCCCCGACTAAGTATTGAGTGCTATACATGCACATTCTTTTCATGTTCATTCTTTTCAGTTGGCCAACATTAGAGAAACAAACATTTTTTCATTGGCCTTTAGAATATTCTAATTTTCTGAGATACCAGATTTGATGTTTTCATTGGTTGTCACCTATAAATATCAAAATTAAACGTAATAAACATCGGAAATACATTGGTCTGTGTGCATTGCATGAATATAATGTACAAGTTTCACGTTTTGAATGGAATTACTGAAATATTTTCAACCTTTTGATGATATTCTAATTTACTGGCCAGCACCTGTACACATCACCCCCCTCCTCTGAAACTGGCAAACAAATGGAGACAAGATGGAAAAAATATCAGTTCATAATATCAGCCAGGTTTTTTTTATTTATCCGATACCGATATGTTAAAAAATGACTAACACAGACTGAGCTCTAATTTATATTGCACACACTGAGTGTTAAGTTCTTTCACAATCAATGTGCTGCAAAAATGTATATATTTATCGACCTTAATAATCGGCTTTAGATGTCAGCAACAAAATTCTTTAAAAATTGGCATCGGCCTTAAAAAACCCATTGGTTGGCCTCTAATTAAATGCATTTATTCTATCAAAGTATATCATAATTTTATCTATTCAGAGGAAGAGGGCAGCTGTGTGATGTAAAATGTGGTGTTCAAAGACCAGAATAAGTGTTGTTTTTTTCAGTGCCCTGTGTGGCAACAAAGCCCTGTTAATTAAGTCGTTGGGGAGATTTCCTGTTTTTTCCAGTGTTGGGAGTTAGTAAGCATGATCGGTGCTTTGCTTCCATTCTGCTTCACCAGCAACACTTCTAATTTTACCAGTGCCAGTTGTTTTGGATGTCTGCTGATGTCATTTCCTGCTGTGTTACAACCAATCAGTGTGAGCTAACCAACGATTCCGCTCATCTACTCCACCGGGCCCATTCGGAGTTCCTACCCCTGAGCAGGTACTCGGAAGGTTCCTGAAAATGACCCGGAAAACAGCCGTTTGGCCGGCCTGGTCAAGTGGAGACATGTCAGGAAGTTCCTGTCAGTGTACCCCGATGTTCCGGTAATGGAAACGAAGCTATTGTTTAAGTGTTCTCGAGTTCAACTCGGCCTAAATGTTGAATAGCTGCAGAGCTTTTGGCTGTTCTAATCTACACAGAGACCAGGATGCTATCAGAAAACAACATCCAGAGACAAGACTGTGGAATTGGGCTCTTTGATGCGTATCGCTACTGATGTTGGGATTTAACATTCAACCAATTATAATGAAACCACACCTCTACCAGTTACACCAGCATGGTTACTACATCTCCTCAGCCACGCACAGACAACACACACACACACCGGTCACAAAAAGAACAGGTAGAGGAGCTTGTGATCATCTAGAAACACCTGCAACACAGCATTTCTTAATGCTGTACTTAGTGCAGCAATCATGAAACCATCAGCTAAACTGTCATTGAAAAAAGGCTCTTTGAACTTTGTTTCTGCTCAGCTTTCATTCCCAATAGACATCAGTGTAAATGTATTACTTCTTATGAAGCTTCATTAACAGTGTGTTTAACATTCATCATGGTGGTATCATCATTAATCATTCAGATCAGAAATTCCTGTAGCTGTCCCTGTTTTAGCAAGCTCTCATGCTGGAGGTGGGTGGTATCTACAAGACACACATGGATGTTTCTGACCTGGAGTGTTCAGGGAATTAAATCAGTCCCAGAAGCTTTTAAGTTTGTTCTCATATTGTGGTTTTTTTTCTTTCATGGAAGAGGCATACATGTAGTTTTGGCTCCACACAGCTGGAGATTGTCCCGCAGTATTACTGACTGTCCACTAGTGGCCGCCATCACCATACCAGGGTAGCAAATCAGTCACGTGAGTGAATTAAATAATAACTGAGTATGTTAACCAGTTTTTATGATGACATAAATGAATGTTTTTCAGTTATTTAATTGTTCAGTGAAAGTTATTGGGGTGATCTCTGTCAGGTTTTCATCAGCAATACCGTTAATGTGGGGAAACCTGGAGGTTCAGGAACCAGTAATATTGGTGTTATAAATTTTGAGCTCCATTATGGCTCCAATGGCTAACTTCTACTTCCTGAAACAGGAGCACCAGAGCTTTTTTTTCCTCACAAAGAACAACTCACAGATTGATTAAAATAAAAGTGAATGAGACCTTTAATAGCAAATTCAGGTGGAATATTTTAAATGTAATCTGTGTAGTTCTACAGAAGAAGTACAGTCTCACCAGAATATGACTTTTTAGACAT